TATACATAGAGAACCCCCAAAACTCCACAGAAAAACTAATTCAACTCATCAATCAGTTCAGTAAAGTGGCAGGATACAAAATCAACACGCAAAAGTCAGTAGCCTTCCTATACACAAACAATAAATCTGAAGAAGAAGAAATAAAAAAAAAACATCCCCTTTATTATTGAAACAAAAAAAAATCAAATATTTGGGAATAAATCTAACAAAAGAGGTAAAGGACCTATACAAAGAAAACTATAAAACACTGTTAAAAGAAATAGAAGAAGACACAAAGAAATGGAAAGACATCCCCTGCTCATGGATTGGAAGAATAAACATTATTAAAATGGCCATCCTACCAAAAGCAATATACAGATTCAATGCTATTCCAATCAAAATTTCAATGTCATTCTTCAAAGAAATAGAACAATTATTGATGAAATTCATATGGAATCACAAAAAACCCGAATAGCCAAAGCTCTCCTGAAAAAAAAAAGAAGGGAATGGAGGCATCACACTCCCAGACTTCAAACTATACTACAAAGCCATAATCATCAAAACTGCATGGTATTGGAACAAGAACAGACATACAGACCAATGGAATCGAATAGAAAATTCAGAAATAAACCCACAGATTTATGGTCAACTAATCTTTGACAAAGGAGCAAAGACTATGCATTGGAGCAAAGAAAGTTTGTTCAATAAATGGTGCTGGGAAAACTGGGTCGCTACATGCAAAAGAATGAAGCTTGACCACTACCTCACACCATACACAAAAATCAACTGAAAATGGATTAAAGAACTAGACATAAGACCTGAAACCATAAAATACATAGAAGGAAATATAGGCGAAACACTATGTGATATGCACATCAAAGACATCTTTACAGACACATCACCCAAAGCAGTGATAGTGAAGGCAAAGATAAACAGCTGGGACTATATCAAATTAAAGAGCTTCTGCACAGCAAAAGACACAATAACCAAAACAAAGAGAAACCCCATCAACTGGGAGAACATTTTTGCACACAACACTAATGATAAAGGACTGATCACAAAAATCTACAAAGAGTTGATGAGATGCAACAAAAACAAAGACAATAATCCAGTCAAAAAATGGGCAGCAGAACTAAAAAGAAACTTCTCTGAAGAGGAAATGCAAATGGCCAACAGCAACATGGATGGCGCTGGAAGGGATCATGCTCAGCGAAATAAGACAAAAAGAAAAAGAAAAATACTGGATGGTCTCACTCATAGCAGGAATCTAGAAAACTTAAATAAGGGACCAGGAAAATGAATAGCTATAAGAAAGTGAAAATCAAAATCAACAAACAACTATGAACCAGAGACACTTTTTGGGGGCGGGGGGTGGAGGGAAGGATTGGGGTCAGAATGGGGGGCTGCAATTGTATGGGGAATATAAAATAAAATTTATTATTTAAAAAAATAAAAAAGAGTGGCTATTATGAAAAATGCTGCAATAAACATGTGATTGTATATATCTCTTCAAAACATTAATTGCATTTATGTTCCCTTTGTGTCCGAAATCCTGACCAACATGTCATATTGCATTTAGTGTTCACAATTCCCTACATCATCATTGCTCCTTTCTTAGTCTCTTAATCTCATGATAAGAGACACAGAAATGAAAAATCCTGTGAGAAATGCTTGTTCCCCAACATGATAGTTAAACATCCTTAACTAGTCTGGATCTAGTCATTGTATGTATAAAATGACATGAGTACACATAAAGATTAGTAAATGTATCTATGTATCTACTGCAATATCTGTCAGGGAAGTCATCCAGCATTCAGGGACTTCAAATTAAGTAAGTGTAGATTATCCAAATCCTCTGGTCTCTTTTTCCCCTTGAATGTCGTTCCTTGTTTAACTGTTCCCACCATTGGGGAACAACTATCTTTAAAATCTGATTTCAGCACTCTTATGGAAAATAAGGTCAATATACAACAACTGATATTGAAGATGTTACTGTGATATCTGAGTAAGTACCTTAGGATGGCCTAAGGTATATTTGTGCAAGAATCAGAATCCCCGATGGCGCAGCGGTTGAGCATTCGGTTGCCAGGCTACCCGTAGCCTCTGCAGTCCCCGGTTCGATCCCTGGCCACGGGCGAGGGTCCCACATGGCAAGCAGACCTCTCCTGCTGCCCGCTGCTCCCCTCAGCAGTGTATTTTGTCAGTCTGCCTGCTCTGCTCTGGCTCTGGTGAATTCTCTCACCCTCCCGCACTTCTGACTATACCCAGTGCTTGTATAAATAAATAAATAAATCTTAAAAAAAAAAAGAAAGAAAAAAAAAGAAAATTAACATGACTTATTTATGCAAGGAGACAAACTAAACTTCAATGCCTACAGATGAGGCTGATTCCAAATACCCTGTTAATACGCAGTGATAGGAAAAAAAACTGAATGGAAATCAAGATAAATGCCATGCAGCACTCTAAGGGCTTCCTTCCCCTTATTTTTTCATGGTCCTTATTTTTTTCCAATTTTCTCCCAAGCCAAGTTTATAGGGAAAAGAATATTTATTCTTTTTTTTTCTCTATATTCCAAAACTGCCTGTTTCAACAATGTTAGTCTCTAGCTATGTTAAGTCATTAATATTGTGGCTCATTGATTGTATTGATTTCTGTGTTCCACACACCTAGGATCTTAATAGTGGTCCATACTAGGAGTGTCAATATAGGTGTTTAGTTCTCTTTGTCCTACCTCATATTATGTTTTCCTGACATTACCTAATTCCCTCCTGTATTCAGAAAGCTGGAATGCTCAGGACAAAGTTTCATGAACTGCTGCTTTTAACTGACATTTGGACACTAGGGAAGTAACATATGAGGCAAGATAAAGTTAATATGGAAAATGAACTGCCAGGGAGACCAGGGGCATTGCTAAGGGTAGTGGTTCTCCTTTTGGCCTGAGTCTGTGTATAAACAAACACCGTTGGGATTATGGTTATTTCCAGCTTTCAAAGACCTATTAATATTGCACTGTCACTAAGTTTACATTCTGTCCTTTTGATCCACATTTTATTGAGGCGTAGGCTAAAATAGATGTTTACTAGGACATGAATGTTTTGTTTTGCTTCATCAGGAATTTAAATAATGCATTTTTAAAGCTTTTTTTGTGAGCTAATATAGTGTTGTTAAAGTCAGCATTTAAAATTCCGAACCTGTTTTCTTGGGGCATAAAGATGCAACTCTTGCATCTCTAATGCTTTCATGAGTATTTGAAGTCCACTTACCTTTTGTACTCCAGTAGAAGTGTATGAGAGGTGGAGATTTCTAAAATATTTCAGAGAATTAGGACATGTTTGACTTGCTGCTTTGTAACTCTCTGCATCTTATTCAGATTTTGATAGTAAAGACAAAATGGCTAAGTGAATATTACGTGGAATTTTCCTCAGACAGCCTGAAATTACCAGATGGACACTCAGATCTGATTGTTAGTCAATAAACCATAAGACCTTGGTATGAGGAGGGTCTCTCCAACCATATGTTTAGCTAATTATAAGCTTTCTGTTCTAGATAGTTTCAGTCTAGATGGTTTCAGCCTAGAGGTTTTCCGTCTTTTGCTGCCTATGCTATTTTGATTACTATAAAGTGATTTTAGCTTCTTCAGTTTTAAATATGAGTTATTGATAAGCAAAATTCCACAAGAAAACAGAAAACAGAATAGTAGGTTCAAGTTGTCAGTGAATTTTATTATACTTTCTCATGCTGATGTCCATCCTTCCATGTTACTCATAAGAAATAATATTGTTTATGCTAGAATATCTCCATAATGAAGACATTCCATAATTCAAAACACCTGCTATCCTAAAATAGATTGCTTCTTCTGAGACAAGTAAGGTAAGTTTATACCATGCTACTTGTGATGCATTGTGAGAATATGTGATGGAAACTTTATTCTTATTCTAGTAATTTATCTAAAAGGGCACTTGAGGTCTTTGGTAAGTACTACCAGAGATGCAAAGTAATTGGTTAACTTTATTTTTATACTGCAAAACATATTGGGCTACTGAATTGGGCTACAGACACCACAAGGAATCAATCTATAATCCAACTAACTTAATGCTTTCAGTAATTGAGAGTTGAGGTTCAGATTCACCTGGTCACTGTTATTAAATTCATTCTGTGAATCTCTTTGCTCTTTGTCTTAAATTTTCCATTAGATTTGATGGAAAAATCAGGGTGCATGACAGTTTCTGTGGATCTAAACTAATCACTCAAAGGAGAAAAGCCATGAAAAAGAAAATAACTGACCTGACCTGATATGTCACTGGGCTTTTTTCTGTTAATTATTACATAATCCTAATTATGTAATGATTTATGAATTATGTAATGATATCTTTCTTATATGAATGAGAGAAATGAAGCTAGAAGAGATGAAACCATTAGATAAAGTATCATACTGGTGATTATAATCACTTCCCAATATTTGTGTGTTGTTCCTATTTGCTTTTCTGTAATTGCCTGATATTTATTATTTATCAATTATGACTTTGGTTTTCACACAGAAGCTTTCATGAATATTCTGTTCAAATGTTATTTTTATGACTTTGAGAGTAATTCTCCTCACCCATGCTTCCCTTATGCTCTTTACCTTTTCTAATATCACTGATCATGTATGCAGTCCTTATAGATTAGAAATGTAATATTTAGAGTTTTTATATATTAAATGTCAATGATAATCTAAGAATATAGGCAGGAATCCGAGTTGAGGCAATATACATTCTAATAAAATTGAAATTAAATTATTTGAACAATTTTAGAAATAAAAACTCCAGAGTACATGAGCACTTAAAGATTTAGGATATAATAAAAAAGAAATTCATATTTTCATAAAAAACATAATTTCTATCAGTAGCCACATTAATCTATTTTTCATAATTGCCTTTCATTGTGTTCATGCTGTAAGTTGTAATATGTTCCCCAAATTTTTGTTTTATTCGTTTCAGATAAATAATTTATTTACATATATCTACACACAGTTCAAGTGCATGGAAATCCAGAGGAACATCTCAGAATTCATTCTTCTAGGACTTTCTGATGACAAGAACATACAAATATTTTGCTTTGTGCTCTTCTTATTCTGTTATATTGCCCTGTTGGTAGGAAATCTTGTGATCCTTGTCTCCATTCGATGCAGTCCTCTTTTTTACCAACCAATGTACTATTTCCTCATCCACTTGTCATCCATGGACATCTGCTATACCTCCACTGTTACACCCAAGTTAATTGGGGATCTGCTGGTGGAAAGAAAGACCATTCCCTATAGTAGCTGCATGTTGCAGGTCTTTACCATGCACTTTTTTGGAGGGGTTGAAGTTTTCATTATTATTGCTATGGCTTATGATCGCTATGTTGCCATCTGCAAACCGCTCCACTACATGCTTATCATGAACAGGTCAAGATGCAATCTCCTGGTGTTAGCTGCTTGGATGGGTGGAGCTATCCATTCATTTCCTCAGTTTTCTATGGTTATTCAGTTGCCTTTCTGTGGTCCTAATGAAATTGATCATTATTTTTGTGATATTCTCCCAATCCTTAAAGTTGCCTGTACTGATACCTACATTACTGGTGTTCTTGTGATTGCCAATTCAGGCTTGATTGCCCTAGTTACCTTTATTGTCTTATTTTTTTCTTATGTTGTTATATTATTCACCTTAAGAAATCAGTCAGCTGTGGGAAGACGCAAAGCCCTCTCTACCTGTGGGTCTCATATCACTGTGGTCATCTTGTTTTTTGGTCCTTCCATTTTTATCTACCTCAGACCTCCGACTACTTACTCTGTGGATAAAGTATTTGCACTATTTTACACAATCATTGCTCCCATGTTCAATCCCTTAATCTATACATTGAGAAATACAGAGATGAAGAATGCCATGACAAAAGTTTGGTGTCAAACACTACTTTCCAAGGAAGTACACAATTAATTTGAATATGCTTATAGCTAAACAGCCATGTAAAAGTAAAGGGCTTGATGTGAATGATAAGAGTAAGAAAGATATAAAAGATTTTATTTTCCATTATCTTCAATAGAATGAATGAGATATTTGAAATTAGCAACTGGAAGTGAAAACTAAACAAACAAAAATGGATGCTAAGTATATTTTTGGACTAATAATATTATGTATTAACCCTTATTATAGGTTACCCACAGAAATAACACACACACACACACACACACACACACCTGTATCAAACCTAATATTGCAATATTATGATGATGAGTGATTTTTGAAGGAAAACATTCAAATTATAATTTTTTAACAAGCTCTGGACTTATTAGCGGGACCAAATTGTGATAAAAATTCCCTGGTATTAGACAACTTGAAATCTAAAATTGAAATAAGAGCTTTAAATTTTCCATGAAGCATTCAAGTAAACATCCATTAATGGCATTTAGAAATCATTTTTGCTACAAAGCAATGACTAGATTAAAATCTTCTTAAAGTTGTTCCTATGGGTCAACATTTCTTATCTCTTTGAAATAAATCACAGTAACTATTGAAGAAAGAACAATATCATTAATTCATGATGCTGAAAACACAATGGCTTCTATTCCACCTATGGAATGGATTTTTTTAAAATTCCCATAAAATGAAGAAACTGAATAACTAAAGGTAAATGTTCACCTACCACTAACTGACTAAAGTTGATAGGTAAATGGTTGGTCATTTCATCCAGATTCAATCAAGAGAATTTTGCTGCATGCGGATGTTTACAGCAACTTTATTCATAATAGACAAACTGTGAAGGCAATGAAGGTGTCATTTCTTAGGTGAATTGATCAACTGTGTTGCATCTAGACAAGGGAATATTATTCAGCTAGTAAATAAAATGAGTTATGAAGTCATGGAATGGCATGAGGGCAACTTCATCCACTTAACTGTGCAAAAGAAGACAATCTCAAAAGAATACCTACTACATGACCTTAACCATACAACATTGTGGAAAAGTAAAAACAATGGAGGCATGGCAAAGATCCTCAGATGCCAAGGGTTAGTTGGTGGGGGAAGTGAATTGTTGAATAGAGAGGACTTTTATGTCACTGAAACTTTAGTATGTAGCTACAGTTAAAAAACCTGTCGTTATATTGATGTTTGTCAAAGTCCATAAAATATACAGCACCAGAGTGGACCTTTATGAAAACTAGGAATTTTTGGTGATAAGTGTGAATTTAGATTTCTTGCATTATTATAGATGTGCTTTTTTTGCAGGGGGAGTTTGTCCTTGTATTAGGACAAGAGGGTATTTGAAAACTCTATTCTGGAAAATCTTAAATATGATCCCAAAACTTCCTGAAAGTACTTATTCAATTAAAAAATAATTTGTGGCACAACAAATCATCTTGTCGTTGAAATAAAAAACAGAATTCTGAGAAAGATTTTCAGGAAAAAATGAAAAGAAAACTTTATGAAAGAACTTTTTTACATGCTTATAAGATCACTTAAAATTCTCTTAACGATCTGCAGAGAATTACAACAAATATCACTGAAGAGAAGATACTGGATACCAAGATTTTATGGAAAGGGAGATAGTTTTATTGTTAAAAGTATATTAAAATACATAATGAAATAGATGATATGATTGTTTTTCAAGATTTGTATACGAAATCATAAAGAGAAGAAACAAGGGAGAAAAAAGTTAAGTAAAAAACTAACAACAGAGAGTAATTGTACAACTATCTTAGTAGTTACTAATGGAAAAAACAAAAAAAAAAAGGTATTTTACACAATGTTTAGTTACTTATCTGAAAACAAAACTAAAAAAAATATGTTCAGGTAATTAACCAATAAATTTGTTTTAAAGAACTCTTTCAAAATGTGGCTGTTTTCATTATCATGTTTTCTTAATGACATACAGTTCTGCTTTAACACATTTTTAGTGGTCTAAATTGTTACTTGAAAACAACATTGGTCTTATCTAATGACATTTTCTGAAAAATATCTAAACACAAATTCACTTTTGATGGGAATTTAGCATTGTTAAAACCAAAAATTGTCATAGATATCACTTAGTATTTCCTGCAGTGGATGTCTTGTTTAATGTTGAGGACATTTTCTTTTTAAAAAATAAGATATACATGACATATAAAATGATATTAGCTTCATGTGTATATCAGTTACACCTGTATAATTATTTGATACAAGCTTACCATCATGAAATGATCACCATGGTAATTATAGTTAACATCCACCACCGCATTTACACAATCTTCCTGTGATGAGAACTTTTAAGATTTACCTTCCTAGCAACTGTGAAATATAAAATGTAGTTTTACTAACTACAGTCACCATGTTCACATTGTCTCTCCAGGACTTATTTGTTTTAAAATTGGATGTTTGTACTTTTTATCACCTTCCTTCATTTTGCCCACTGCTCCCATCAACAATGTTTTCAGTCGTCTGCCTGTTCTGCTCCTCACTCTGTCTCTGGTGAATTCTCACACCCTCCCGTGACTCTGGCCTGTACCCCAGCTCTTGTATAAATAAAATAAATCTTTAAAAAAAATAAAAAAGAAAAACATTTCAGTGTGTGTGTTCACCACTTCATCTGTCAAGGCACACTTAAGTTGTTACCTAAGTGTGGCTATTATCAATAATGCCACAATGAACATAGGGTTATACCTATTGCTTCAAAACACTGATTGCATTTGGGTTCCCTTTATGTCCCATAACCAATCCAAGATATCATGTTGCATTTAGTATTCTTAATTCTCTACATCATCATTGCTCTTTTCTTTATCTCTCAATCTCATGATAAGAGATAGAGAAATGAAAATTGCCAAGAGAAATGCTTGTGCCAAACACGATGGCTGAAAACATCTTTAACTAGTTTCTGGGTCTAGTCAGGCCATATGCAAGATGCCATGGGAATCATAAAGATTAGTAAATGTATCAAGTGAAATCTTTGTCATGGAAGTCATCCTTTGACAGGGACTTCAAAATAAATAGGTGTAGAATACCTAGTTCATCTGGTCTCTTTTTCCTCTGGAATGTCTTTCCGTTGTAGTTGTTGCCACCACTTGGGAACTTAACAAGTGTAGTGCTTAGAAGCTTCCTGTAGGGGGCCTTTACTGATTACTTGTAATACATTTCTCTTCATCTCAGCAAAACCTTGTTACGCTCATACTATTACATCTTTGTACTTAGAAGACATGAAAACTTACACCATTTTAGTTTTTTCCTGTAATGAGAATGTTAAAAAATTGTGAGATGTTAGGAATTTATTCTCCAAAGTTTCAACCTAAAGCAAGTGCAGTGTCAGCACTTTCAAATTGAATATTACTTATTACCCTTTAAAATGTAATATTAATGTTTTTCTGATTTTTTTAATATTCTGATTATAAGCGTACTAGAACATGCATTTGACTGCAACCTTCCATCTATTGTGTGTTTTAAAGACAAATATACTACCAATTTATAAAGTCAGAAAAAAAAAACTAGATAGAATAGATAAATAGCTAGAATATTTGTGGTCTGAACAGAGCACATGGTATTTGAGATATTGGAGACTCCCATAAATTGATTATACTCCCATAAAATGCCATAAATTGATTATATTAGATAATACTTTTCATTATATTCTTAGGTCTTAGGGTTACAAAGAAAGGTTTTATTTTTTCATTTCCTGTTAATTTTGGCTCAAGTTTTCATGTGTGGTATGTCTATTATCCCATGCCCACTTTTCTGCAAAGGAGTATTGACACCTTTCGTTAGGTTTTCAAAGGAATGTGACATACACAAAAATGGGCTACAATGATCTGGAGACAAAATTGCATATTTCCTAGTAACTACTGTTTGTACTTCAGCTCTTCAATCAAGATTAGTATAGATTGGCAAACTTGTAAAGAAACAATTCAGAGAGAATGTGTGGTGTAGGCATGGTAAACAAGAATGTTGATGGAAACCACACAGGAAAATGCAGAATAGATGAGGAGGGCTCTTTCCTGTACTCCATGTTTTATTTCAGAGGCACAGTGAGAAACATTGCTGTCCTTGAATCACATGTCCTTCTTCAGTTGAGCCAATGTGGGATTCCAGCCACACTTATTTTTCATCTGAAATAGCTTTCTTACCACACAGTTTCTTAATGGCATCTTTCATCTGTGCATTTCGCAAGGTGTAGATTAAGGGATTTAACATGGGAGTTATTGCAGTGTAGAACACAGCAACTGCTTTATCAATGGGTAAAGTAATAGCAGGTCTCATGTATATAAATATGCAGGGCACAAAGAACAAGACAACAACTGTGATGTGGGAAACACAGGTGGAGAGGGCTTTGTGCCTTGCCTCTAAACTGTGGTTCTTTAGGGAGTGCAGAATACTCACATAGGAAACCATCAAGAGGAGGAAGTTTAGCAAGCAGATAAAGCCACTGTTGGCAGAAACAAAGAGTCCTAGAGTGTGGGTATCAGTGCAGGCCAGATTGAGCAAAGGACTCAGATCACATAAAAAGTGATCGATGATGTTAGGACCACAGAAGGGCAGACGGAAGATAAAAAGGATCTGTATGGTTGAGTGAAGAAGGCCTCCCATCCATACCACTCCCACTAGCAGGCCACAAAACCGCCAGTTCATGATGGTTGTATAGTGTAAGGGCTTGCAGATGGCCACATAGCGGTCAAAGGCCATTACAGTGAGCAGGATAATCTCAGCGCCTCCAAAGAAATGTTCTGCAAAAATTTGTATCATACACTCATTGAATAAAATAGTCTTTTTTTCATAGAGTGAATCTGCGATAAGTTTAGGGGTATTGATAGAGCAATAGCAGGCATCAATGAAGGAGAGATAGGCCAGGAAAAAATACATGGGGGAATCTGACAAGGAGCTGGCAGTGATGGTGATCACGATGAGCAAATTTCCTACCACAGAGATGACATAGATGAGAAAAAACACAACAAATACAATTTTCTGCATCTTTGGATTCCCTGTGAGTCCCAGTAGAATAAACTCTGTGACATTGTTTTTAATCTCCATGATTACATGTGATGCTTAATTCATACCTGGAAAAAATATCACTTTTTATTGATACAACTATGAATCTATCATATTTAGTCATTCTAATAAATATTAAGTGTATGACTCTATGAACTGTGAGTTATTCTGAGGTTTTTTTTTTTTTGAAAGAAAAAAAGTTTCCGTTTGTCGAAGATTATTCAAGTGATTTCACTGATTATGAATCTGTTAATACCTGAGACATAGGGTATTTTGAAAACACATAGAAAGTCATGTAAGTTCACCAAATCAGCTTAAATGACTAAAAGTCTGTCTTAAATTAGAATGTACATACACACTGGCAGCTATGCTTGAGAGAAGTATAGAACAAGGATGTAGAGAATAAAAGGAAAACAAAGGGATTTTTCCCTTCTCCTTAGGAAATGGAAAATAATGGAAGGTAACTGAGAATATGAGGAAAGGATAAAGCAAAAATTGAAGAAGGGGGAGTCTTGGCTATAACTCGGTAAGATCTTTGTGTGCCTTAGATGAAGTGGGTTGAAGTTCAGTAAAGAGTAGAAGACAGACATAGGAAGCCTAGGAGATTATTCAAGAGTTAGCATGCAATGTAGTAGGACACTGTTATAGGAATATGAAGAGTACACTGGAGTTTCTATGAAAACATGCAAAGTGGTTATTGTATAAATGCAAGAACTTTACAATAACTAGTAATTATTCTTTTAATGATCGATTGTTATGTTTAAAGTAGCAAGCTTTATGCACATATTGATCCCTTTAATACTGATCCAACCTATGTTGTTGGTATTATTAAATCTACTTTGCAGAAAAGAAATAAGTCACAGAATTTTAGGTGGATAATATTAACAGCAATAAGAATATTAAATCTATATAAATATATATACGGATTTTCTAAGTGGATTTCTAGACATTTCCTAATTTAACACTCCTTACAAATTCAGGATATGATTTCCACATCATTTTTTACTTATTTCATACATTGTGAGATAAAAGCATAGAAAAGTTTAGAATCCTGTCCAAGATCAAGTTAGTTAAGGACAGATTCAAAGCTCAGTCAGATTATACCTAAATAGTTTACCTCCAAATGCATTCTCATACACTATTTTGTTATCATTACCAATGTTCAACTTGTAATCTCCTTTTAATATGATGAGAAATATTATAATTATTTTATTACAACTTTATAGGCAAGAGAATATGAAGCCATTTATTTTATCAGCAAACACACATACGATGGCATGTTCAAAATCCCATATATCAAACACATCAAGGTATAACATTTATTGAAAGGAACTGATAACTTGATTTGTTTTCCAATCTCAGCTGCGCAAAGTGAACTCTCCCTCCAAAGCATGAGTCCTGAAACCCTTCTGTAAAAATTTGAGAATGAATACCATGTGGTTAAGTATATCGTAGGATCAGAACATCTAGGCTAGATTCCTGATACTTCAACTTGCAAATTCTTTTATGTGGGTACATTGCTGGCACCCTTCCTATTTGTTTCCTTATCTAAAGCAGGAATTATAATAAAGCTACATATGCTTTATGGGAATTACTTATGGGAATGTACGTGAGCATATCCACCACACTGCTCTCGACACACACAAGACTTTCATCATTTTTATGTATGCACTTAGGAGATGGGAAGAATTGGCATTTAGATCAATAATACACAGAGACATTTCACTATGCAAGGAGCTTGTGAGTTCTTACCTTTAATTTTTGTTGAAGATTCCATGGAGATTCATATTATCCATAGAAACTGATCCAAGGAAGGAAACTCTTTTGGTGTTTTCACTATACAGCTGAGAGTTGAAGTCAGTATTCATACTTACATCTTTTCTATGTGTAATTGTATTTAATACGTTTTTCATTCTCATGATGTACGTTGATTGTTAAAGGAGATGCCTCCTTGCAAAAGCATGTTGTCTGGTGCTAGAGAACAATGCTCTATAATTACTCTCAAGAAGTCTTTGATTTTTTATCTGTCAGATGAAGTTGATGCTATTTAACAATATTTGGAAGATGGTGAGGGTGAAATGTACCACTATCATGTTTGAGAAGTCTGCAAACATGATTCTGATCATATATGAGAAGTAACAATCTCTAATAAGCATTAGCATTACAGAAAAGCATAACTTACAATGTTAGGTTCCCTTAAAGATGTTTGGGGTGTTCAGGACAATGTCATCCTCAACTGACATCCTCTTGTAATAAACGACTTTCAGTATGAAAGATATCACATTCAAAAGGAGACTATTCAGATGAGCCGTTATACAATGAACACTTGCTATGTGTTTTTATAAAGTCTCAACCTTTTCCTCTATCATAGAATCTTAATGTATCATAGAACACCTGGGGCATGCATTTAGAAGGGATTCCTTTGAAACACAATAGGAAGATGATCTTCTACAGATGACTCTGTACCACAAGCCAAAAGCAGAAAATTTGGAAGAGATAACTCTCACAGGTGTCATGTCGCCCATGATTAGTCCTTTTCTGGAGATGTGATCAGCAAAGCTCATGTACTCTTTGGCCCACATGGATATTTAAAGGGATTTTTGTGAAGATTCAAGGACTTTGTCTTATAGTTGCTGCTCTCTCTATGGAATTAATTATCTGCTTTGATGGAAAGGCTTATCTTAGAAGCAAGTATTCAGGAGAGACAGGTTTGAGAAACATCAATTTTTGAGTGAGGGATTGTATTTCCTCCACTTGAAATCTAAACACATGAGAGCCTCCTATCATTACCTGAACTTGAGTTTCCCTAGAGCAAGGATCACCTTCCATTTTAGAAATGGTGACATCTGAGGAGTGGATAATTGAAAATGCACCAAGATTCAGTGTTTTTCATTTTTTAATAATGCATTGTTGATACAAAGCAGGTGTGGTTTGATAGGGTGACACACACAGACATCCAAAATGAAAGTGGCTAATTTGGGATCTAAACCTATGTCCTGAGAACAGGAGATGGAGAAGGTAACAGTGACTAGTTGTTACTCTTTTTTTTAAATCAAGATGTCCGTCTATGATTTTCTTGTCAAACTTTCCTCATGAGAGTTGATTACCATAATAAAGTCATAATACACCTGTCACCTCACAGAATTCCTTATTCGGGCATAGGAGGTAAGAATGTATAACCTCTTAGGCATTCTTCTGACCGTATGGTTCTTGACTTGGATATTGTCGATCTCATTTGTGTGTTCATTTCTACAACAATCTTATTTCTTTTATACTTGGACATGCATATTTTAAAAAAATTAAATATAACAAATGCATTGAATTTCATTAACTTATTAAAAATTATGGTGCACCTTTCAATATTTAAACAATAACTTCAGGATAACATCAAAGTTTCTACTCCAGTCTGCAATCTGAAAATCCATTTCTATCCATACACATTGCCAACAATTCAGAATACTTTAAGCACATATTTATTAATTTTAAGAATATTTGTTTCCTCCAGCATATTTCAGAGATTCACTGTGATTCTTGAAAGAAGGATTTTAATGTATTTTTATTCTATTGTAACTGACAATCCAGAGAAGGGAGATTGTGTTTCTCAAATTAACAAAGCATTTATTGAAGAATGGGTCTAGTCAGGGTTTGTGTAAGATACAATGGGAACACATAAAGAATAGTAAAGGTATCAACTGACATCTGTAATGGAAGTCATCCCTTTTAACAAGTACTTAAAAATAATTAGGTGTAGAATATAAAAATTGTTCTTCTCCTCTCTTTTGTCCTTGGAATGCCACCTAACTGCTTCAGCCTCTTGGGAGCATTAGGGCAGCATTGCTTAGAAACATTCTCCTTGTGACCTTCAGCAATTACCTCATGATAGAGAAAATTCTCTCTCTTCATCTTGGAAGATATCCTTATCACTTCTGTAATAATATTATATATGTTTGCTTATAGAAAAGAGTGGATGTGCTTAATTTACTTTTTTTTTTCCTGGAATGAGAACACTGGAAAATTGTTAATTCTCAGGATATGTTCTTCAAAACTCCAACCCAAAGCATATGCAGTGTGTTTTCATATTGAATATTCTCTACTACCCCTGAAAATGTAGCCTGGACCTAAGAGAATTCTGTATCACATGTTGTACTACAGAAATAGGTCCACCTCGATGTTAGAGGACCAGTCTCTTTTACTCCCATGTCAGTCAGTCTTTGCTCGCGGTAGACCTGGGATGGTAGCATCATACCCAAGATGAGACACATTTCATTTTCTCAAGTAGAAATTTTGAGGAGGTTGAGAGTTTGAGCTGTTAACAGCTGAGATGCTTAGCATCTATAGCTGGGCCCTGCATACACTGGACCTTGAAGAGAGATTAAATTGGACAGGACTATGTCCACTACATTCTGTATTCTCCCTGACACCATTAGAGTTCAATCCTCCTCCATCCATCCACACCAAAAAACCTATCAACTTTTTTTACCAAGCAGACATGTATCAAAAATCAATGGAGTATTTCTTTTTAATAAATAGAAATTCATGTCTGACGATAAAATTTTCTTTAATTTGAGTCATCACTCTTCCTGATATGTGAGCAGCCTAAAGTGATGATTCGAAAAATATTTTGGAAAGGTGGTGTAATAATTGTTAGTTAAACCACAGTGGTTCAATGACCCATTGTTGTGACACACTTAGATGTCATAATATTAGAGGCACCATAATAAATTAATTATCATACAGAAAATTGAGCAGATTAAGAAAATTATAATTCAGATGGTATGAAGTAAATGTTATAGTATGCTCAGCAGTCTGTACCTCAATAAATCATAACTATTTTAATTAACTTACTTTTCTATTATCATTGCTTGAAAGTGTCACATACAGTTAATCATATGGTCTGAGAATCGTTATTCTTCAATCTATTTACTCAATGCTTTCACCTGTCATCAGTTTCCTCTCTTAAAAAGGGTAATAGCAGTGCCCAAATCTTTAGATTACAATAAAGATTATTGCTTGAAATCAATACACTTTATTATTTATTATATTTGAAGGGAATACTATGCTTTCATATACATGGATGACCTAGTATATTGAAATCCCAATTTGACAGAAATTTCCCAATATGCGGAGTGTCATGGGCTAGCTTTTCCCCATATCCATACACCTGTTCATGCTCCATTCAGTGCACAATCTATGACACATGGTAGTTAACTTTATTTTCTTTATTCCACAAGCATTCTTTGCTGAGATTAACCGAATGTACTTCTGACCCTTTCTTCAGTTCTGTCAATGTGGGTCTCAAGCCACACTTATTTGTCATCTGAAATAGCTTTCTTACTACACAGCTTCTTAATGGCATCTTTCATCTGTGCATTTCTCAAGGTATAGATTAAGGGATTTAACATGGGAGTTATTGCAATGTAGAATACAGGAACTGCCTTATCAATGGGGAAACTAACAGCAGGCCGCATATATATAAATATACAAGGCACATAGAATAATACAACTACTGTGATGTGGGAGCCACTGGTAGAGAGGGCTTTCTTCCTTGCCCCTGCTCTATGGTTCTTTAGGGAGCACAAAATAATCACATAGGAGACCATCAAAAAGAGGAAGTTCAACACACAAAGGAACCCACTTTTGGCAGCAACGAAGTGTCCCAGCATGCAGGTATCCACACAGGCCAGATTGAGCAAAGGAATCAGATCACACATAAAGTGATCTATGACATTAGGACCACAAAAGGGTAGTCGGTATGTGAAGAGGATCTGTATGGTTGAGTGGAGAAGGCCTCCCATCCATGCCACTGCTACTAGCAGGCCAAACACCCGTGCATTCATGATAGTTGTATAGTGCAAGGGCTTGCAGATGGCCACATAGCAGTCAAAGGCCATTACAGTGAGCAGGATAATCTCACTACCACCGATGGAATGTTCCCAAAATATTTGGGTCATGCATCCTTTGAACGATATAGTCTTCTTTTCATAGAGTGAATCTGCGATAAGTTTAGGGGTATTGATAGAGCAATAGCAGGTATCAATGAAGGAGAGATGGGCCAGGAAAAAGTACATAGGGGAACCAAATAATGGGCTGCTAGCAATAGTAATCACAACAAGCAAATTTCCTACCACAGTGACGACATAGATGAGAAAAATGCAACAAATACAATTCTCTGCATCTTTGGATTCCCTGGGAGTCCCAGTAGAACAAACTCTGTGACGTTGTTCATAATCGCCATGGGTTTCATGTGATACTTAATTCAGACCTGAAAAGAAATTTCACATTTTCTATGATACAACATTGAATCTACCAAATTTAGCCGTTTTAATAAATATTAAGTGTCTGACTCTATTAACTGTGAATTAGTCTGAGAGTTTCTTTTTTGGAGAGAAAACAGTTTCTGTTTTTTGAAGATTATTCAAGTGATTTCACTGATTATGAATATTAATTCCTGAGACTTAGGGTACTTTGTAAACACATAGAAAGTCATGTATGTTCACCAAATCTGCTTAAATGACTGAAAGTCTTTCTTGAACTAGAATGTACACACATACTAGCAGCTACAATGGAGAGACATATAGGACAAGGATGTAGAGAATAAAAGCAAAACAAAGGGATTTCCCCTCCTCCTTAGGAAATGGGAAATAAAAGGAAGGTAATTGAAAATATGAGGAAAGTATAAAGCAAAAATTGAAGAAGGGGAGTCTTGGCTATAACTCTGTAAGATCTTTGCATGTCTTAGGTGAAGTAGGCTGAAGTTCAGTAAGGAGTAGAAGACAGACATAGGAAGCCTAGTAGGAGATTATTCAAGAGTTAGCATGCAATGTAGTAGGACACTGCGATGGGAATGTGCAGAAAGTACACAGGAGTTTCTATGAAAACATGCAAAGTTCTTCTTGTATAAATGCAAGAACTTTACAATAACTAGTAATTATTCTCTTAATGATTAATTGCTATGTTTAAAGTAGAAAGCTTTATACACATATTGATTCTTCCAACACTGATCCAACCTATGTTGTTGGTATTAAATCTCCTTTGTAGAAAAGAAATGAGTCTCGGAGTTTTAGGTGGATAATATTAACAGCAATGATAATATTAAATCAATACATATATTTGATTTTTCTAAGTGGATTTTTAGACATTTCCTATTTTAGTACTCACTACAAATTTAGGATATGATTTCCATCACTTTTTTTTACTTATTTTACACATTATGAGATAAAAGCATAGAAAAGTTAAGAATCCTGTCCAAGATCAAGCTAGTTAAGGACAGATTCAAGGTTCAGTCAGATTATACGTATATAGTTTACCTCCAAATGCATTCTCATACACTACTTTGTTATTATTGTCCAATGTTAAACTTGTAATCTCTTTTTAATATGATAAGAAATATTATCATTATTTTATTACAACTTCAGATGCAAGAGGGTATGAAGAAATTTTATGAGCAAACACACGTACAATGGCATGTTTGAAATCCCATATATCAAGTACAACAATGTATAATATTTAATGAAAAGTATTTATTTCTTTTCCAAACCCAGCTCTCCAAAGTGAATTCTCGTCCAAACCATGAGTTGAAAATCTTCTGTAAAAAGTTGAGAATGAATACCATTGTGGTTAAGAGTATTATAAAAGCAAACATCTAGGATAGATTTCTGGTCCTTCCTCTTGCAACTTCTTTTATGGAGGTACATTGTTGACACCGACCTATTTATTTCCTTATCTAAAGTAGGAATTCTAATAAAGCTACATAAGTTTTATGGAATTTAGTTATGGGAATGTTTGTGAACATATCCACCACACTGCTCTAGACACACACAAGACTGTCATCATTTTTGTGTATGCTCTTAGGAGATGGGAAGAATTGGCATTTTGATCAATAATACACAGAGAACTTTCACTCTAAGGAGCTTATGAGGCCTTACCTTCAATTTTTCTTAAAGATTCCATGGACATTCATATTATCCACAGCAATTGATCCAAGAAAGGAAACTCTTTTTTGTTTTCTGTATACAGCTGACAGTTGATGTCAGTGTAGTATTCATACTTACAACTTCCTATGTATAATTGTATTTAATACATTTTTCATTCTCTTGTTGTACCTTGATTGTTAAGGGGATGTCTCCTTGCAAAACACATTGTTTGATGTTAGAGGGTGACAACCTATAATTAATCTCAAGAAGTCTTTGGTTTTTCATGTCAGATGAGGTTGATGTTACCGATTTTTGGAAGAATGGGAGAGGTTGAAATGCATTATTACCGTATTTGAGAAATCTGGAAACATGATACTGCTCACATATGAGAAAAAACAATCTTTAATAAGCATGAGCACTTTTGAATACTTACCTTACAGTCCTAGCTTCCCTCAATGATGATTGGGGATGTTCAGAATAATGCCATCTTCAAACTGACATCGTCTTGGAATAAATAACCTTCAATATGAAAGATGTGACTCTCAAAAGAGAATATTTAGTTGAGACATTATACAATAAATGCTTGCTACACTTGTTTTTATAAGTCTCAGTCCTTTCCTCATTCATAGAATCTTAATGTTTCATAGAACACCTGGCATATGCATTTAGAAGGTATTCATTTGAAACACAATAGAAAGATGATCTTCTACAGGTGACTCTGTTCCCACAGTGAAAAGCAGAAAGTGTGGAGGAAATACTCACATGTGTCACATTGCCCATGATTAGTTCTTTCTGGAGGTATGATCAGCAAAGCTTATTTATGCTTTGGCTGTTTCCTCCAGCATATTTTAGAGTTTCTTGTGATTCTTGAAAGAGGGATTTTAATGTATTCGTATTCTATTACACCAGACAATCTAGAGAATGGAGATTATGCTTCTCAAACAAGCATTTATTAAAGAATGGGTCTAGTCAGGGTATGTGTAATGTGCAATGGAAAATTATCTACTGAATATATTTACTGAAATCTGTTCATAGAATTAATCCAGTGACCAAGGACTTAAAAACAATTAGGTGTAGAATATCCAAACTGTTCTTGTCCTCTCTTTTTTCTTTGGAATGCTGCTCAGCTACTTCAGCCTCTTGGGAACATTAGGGCAGCATTGCTTAGAACATTCTCTTGGTGACCTTCAGTGATTACCTCATGATAAAGATATTTCTTTCTTCATCTTGGAAGATATCCTTATCACTTCTGTAATAATATTACATATTTTTGCTTATAGAAATCAAGCAGATGTGTCTATTTATTTATTTACCTGGAATGAGAACACTGTGTTTTCAGATTGAATATTCTCTACTACCCCTGAAAATGTAATAAAGTTATTTATCTCATTGCTCTACTAACTCTGATAATAAAACACATTCATAACTACACTTACTGGGATTGTCTGTCTATTGTATGCAATAAAAAACATTAAAACGTTATTTTCTGAGTTAAAAAGATAAAATTGACTAATTCTAAATAACTTCTGATTAGCTAGATAGAATAGTTATACAACTGGAGAAGTTGTTTTGAATCACACACTTTAAAATGTTGGAAAGTGAGTCCCATATAATTAGTATTTTTTTTTTTTTTTAATTTTTTTTTTTAAATATTAAATTTTATTTTTATATTCCCCCATACAATTGCAAACGCCCCATTCTGACCCAATCCTCCCTCCCCACCCCCCAAAAGTGTCTCTGGTTCATAGTTTTTGTTGATTTTGATTTTCACTTTCTTATATTCATTTTCCTGGTCCCTTATTTAAGTTTTCTAGATTCCTGCTATGAGTGAGACCATCCGGTATTTTTCTTTTTCTTTTTGGCTTATTTCGCTGAGCATGATCCCTTCCAGTGCCATCCATGTTGCTGCAAATTGCATGTGTTTATCTTTTGAATGCTGAGTAATATTCCATGGTATATATGTACCACATCTTCTTGATCCAGTCATCTATTTTGGGGCATTTGGGTTGTTTCCAAAGCTTAGCTATTGTAAACAGTGCTGCTATAAACATAGGAGTGCAGGTGCTCTTTGGAATTGATGTTTCTGTGTCCTTTGGGTAAATACCTAGGAGTGGAATTGCTGGATCATATGGAAGCTCTATGTTTAGTAGGTCCAGAAATCTCCACACAGCTCTCCATAGTGGTTGGACCAGTTTGCACTCCCACCAACAGTGCACAAGAGTTCCTTTTTCTCCACATCCTCGCCAACATTTGTTGTTGCTAGTTTTTTTAATATGTGCCATTCTCACTGGTGTGAGATGGTATCTCATGGTAGTTTTGATTTGCATTTCCCTGATGACAAGTGATGTTGAACATTTTTTCATATGTCTGTTGGCCATTTGCATTTCCTCTTCAGAGAAGTTTCTTTTTAGCTCTTCTGCCCATTTTTTGACTGGATTATTTTCTTTGTTGTTGCTGAGTCTCATCAGCTCTTTGCAGATTTTTGTGATCAGTCCTTTATCATTAGTGTTGGGTGCAAAAATGTTCTCCCAGTTGGTGGGGTTTCTCTTTGTTTTTGTTATTGTCTCTTTTGCTGTGCAGAAGCTCTTTAATTTGATGTAGTCCCAGCTGTTTATCTTTCTCTTCACTATCACTGCTTTGGGTGATGTGTCTGTAAAGATGTCTTTGATGTGCAAATCCCGTAGTGTTTCGCCTATATTTCCTTCTATGTATTTTATGGTTTCAGGTCTTATGTCTAGTTCTTTAATCCATTTTGAGTTGATTTTTGTGTATGGTGTGAGGTAGTGGTCAAGCTTCATTCTTTTGCATGTAGCGACCAGTTTTCCCAGCACCATTTATTGAACAAACTTTCTTTGCTCCAATGCATAGCCTTTGCTCCTTTGTCAAGATTAGTTGACCATAAATCTGTGGGTTTATTTCTGGATTTTCTATTCGATTCCATTGGTCTGTATGTCTGTTCTTGTTCCAATACCATGCAGTTTTGATGATTATGGCTTTGTAGTATAGTTTGAAGTCTGGGAGTGTGATGCCTCCATTTCCTTCTTTTTTTTTCAGTAGAGCTTTGGCTATTCGGGGTTTTTGGTGATTCCATATGAATTTCATCAATAATTGTTCTATTTCTTTGAAGAATGCCATTGAGAATATTTTAAAACAATGTTTTTTTTTTTTATTTTCATGAATCAGCTTTTTAGAGATGCAGTGAGAGGATTCACACTTTTCATATCCTCCTAATATTGGCTCAAAGTTATTTGTGGTCTGTGGATGACATATGTCCACTGTTCCCCAATTTCCCATTTTATCAGGTTTTGGTACACAAAATGAGTTGTACTGATCAGGAGACAAAACTGCATATTCCTAATAACAATTTTTACTTCAACATTTCAAAAAAATTAGTTAAATGGGCTAAAATTGCAAATCAACAATAGTTCATATAGAACAAGTTAGTGTAAGGATAGTAACAGAATAATACTAAATAGAAAACAGACAGGAAAAACTGGGGAATAGATGAGGATGACTCTATATTTTAGTGTTTTATTTCAGGGGCCACCTTGAGAAGTTGTTTTCAGTAAACACTGCCCTTAAACACCCACCGCTCCCTGATTGAGTTACACTAGACCGCTGTATTTGGGAGAATATCTATCTGTACTTTACTTGTCCGTGGTGCTTGTCATTCTCTATTGAATATTAACAGGTGGTTTGTGAAGATTTTTATTTTTCAAAATCTCAAATAATAACAAATACAGGATACCCTCCTTGATTTCCTCACTGTGGAATGAATCATGTATATTTTCTATATCTGGTTGTACTAAGATTTCAGGCAAGTAATATTAATTCATTTCTCTTTGCAAATCTTATTAGACAGAAAGCAAGTGTAAGGGAAAATAATATGATTTGTGGAAGGAGGTTGGAAAGAATTGAGTATTCATAGAAGGGAAGATAATATTCCAAGATATTTCTACTATTGTCCCACTGACATGGCATATTGTCATTGATATCAATCGTAACACAGGGTAATAAGAAAGATCCTAAGGGATCTTCTGTATTCCAGGCATATTTTTCCTTACCTCCATTGTAAAGTACAGTCCAATTTCCCCTCAGTATCAGGGTCAATCATTCAAGTCAACACAGTAACTTCTTTCTTTGCCTATTGATCCAATGGCTTGAGGACACTGAAGTGATTGGGTGGTATGGTCTTAACATCTATTGAATATAACTTTGTTTTGTCTCCCTGTAGAAGCATCCTCCCTTTGGAACTAAGGCCTCTAGTTCAGGAAGTCATAAGTTTGTGAGAATAGAAAGCAAATATTTTGCTAGTGGGACCTGTAGGGTCACAGAACATGGTGCTATCTTTACCACTACTTGACAGCATCATGGGTCCTGACTATGGCAAAGCTGTTTGCAGAGTGTCTATGCCATCAGGACAAAATGCTGCTCCTTTATGATGGAATAATCACCTGCCATGTGTCTTCTTTGTATTGCATTTTCTCAGTTTCCTCTACACCCAGTGATCCATCAAAATCTGCATTTTATTCATAACTCTAATTTCCCTAATCTTTATCCTACATTAAGTTCTGTTCTTATAACTCTTAAATGGTTTTTATACCTTTCTATATTTCTCCATATCATTATTGGTTGCCTAGGTACAGACCATGGGGTGAGAATTTTCATCAAAGTTCTTTACAATGAGAAGGGATTTAGGGACTCTGACTATGGTGGGGCAAATGTGGTCCCAAATAACAACTGGATTTAGCCTGGAACTGAGAGATCTGTAATACAGAGCTGGGTCCACCTGGATGTTAGAGGACCAGTCTCTTTTCCCCCCATGTCAGTCAGTCTTTGCTTGCTGGTAGATCTGGGATGGTAGCATCATACCAAGATAAGACACCTTTCATTTTCTCAGGTAGAAATGTCAAGAGGAGGTTGAGAGTTTGAGTTGTTAATAGCTGAGATGATTAACATCTACATCTGGGCCCTGTATGCACTGGACCTTGAAGAGAGATTAAATTGCATAGGACTATGTCCACTACATTCTCTGTTCTCACTGACACCATTAGAGTTCAATCCTCCTCCATCCATCCACACCAACAAAAACCTATCACCGTTTTTTTACCAAGCAGACATGTATCAAAAATCAATGGAGTATTACTTTTTAATAAATAGAAATTCATGTCTGACCACAAAATTTTCTTTAATTTGAGTTATCACTCTTTCTAATAGGTGAGAAGCCTAAGGTGATGATGTGAACAATAAAAAAGTTCCAAAACTACAAGAAATTTGGAAAGGTGGTATTATATATTGTTAGTTAAACCACAGTGCTTCAATGACACATTGTTAAGACACTCTTAGATGTCATAATATTAGAGGCAACATAATAAATTAATTATCATACAGAAAATTGAGCAGATTAAGAATATTATAATTCAGAGAGAAATGAAGTAAATATTATAATATGTTCAGCATCTGTGCCTCAATAAATCATAACTATTTTAATTAACTTACTTTACTATCATCATTGCTTGAAAGTGTCACACACAGTTGACCATATGGTCTGAGAAGTCGTTATTCTTCAATCTATCTACTTGATGTTTTCACCTGTCATCAGTTTCCTCTCTTAAATGGGGTAATAGCAGTGCCTAAATCTTTAGATTACAATACAGATTATTGCTTGAAATCAATACATTTTATTATTATATTTGAAGGGAAAACTATGCTTTCATATACATGGAGGAGGTAATATAATGAAATTCCAATTTGACAGATTTTTCCCAATATGCAAAGAGTGGCATGGCTACCTTTTCCCCATTTCCATGCACCTGTTTATGACACATGGCAGTTAACTTAATTTTCTTTATTTCACAAGCATTCTTTGCTGAGATTAACCAAATGTCCTTGTGATCCTTTCTCCAGTTGCATCAATGTAGGCCCTTAAGCCACGCTTATTTGTCATCTGAAATAGCTTTCTTACTACACAGTTTCTTAATGGCTTCTTTCATCTGTGCATTTCTCAAGGTGTAGATTAAGGGATTTAACATGGGAGTTATTGCAGTATAGAATACAGTAACTGCCTTATCAATGGGTAAAATAACAGCAGGTCTCATATATATAAATATGCAAGGCACAAAGAATAAGACAACTACTGTGATGTGGGAGACACAGGTGGAGAGGGCTTTGCGCCTTGCCTCCATGGTGTGGTTCTTCAGGGAACGTAGAATACTCACATAGGAGATCATCAAGAGGAGGAAGTTTAGCAGGCAGATGAAGCCACTGTTGGCAGAAACAAAGAGTCCTAGAGTATGGGTATCAGTGCAGGCCAGATTGAGCAAAGGACTTAGATCACAGGAAAAATGATTGATGATATTAGGACCACAGAAGGGCAGTCTGAAGATGAAGAAAATCTGTATGGTTGAGTGAAGAAGGCCTCCCATCCACACCACTCCCACTAGGAGGCCACACACCCGTGCGTTCATGATAGTTGTATAGTGTAAGGGCTTGCAGATGGCCACATAGCGGTCAAAGGCCATTACAGTGAGCAGGATAATCTCACTACCACCGATGAAATGTTCCCAAAATATTTGGCTCATGCATCCTTTGAATGATATGGTCTTCTTTTCATAGAGTGCATCTGTGAAAAGTTTAGGGGTATTGATAGAGCAATAGCAGGAATCAATGAAGGAGAGATGGGCCAGGAAAAAGTACATAGGGGACCCAAATAATGGGCTGCTAACAATAGTAATCACAACAAGCAAATTCCCTACCACAGTGAAGATGTAGATGAGAAAAAACACAACAAATACAATTTTCTGCATCTTTGGATTCCCTGTGAGTCCCAGTAGAACAAACTCTGTCACGTTTCTCATAATATCCATGTATTTCATATAATGCTTAATTCAGACCTGGAAAAAAAATCACTTTTTTATTTATACAACCAAAAATTTATCAAATTTAGCCATTCTAGTAAATACTAAATGCTTCAGGTTTTATTGAATTGTGAATTCCTCTGAGGGCTTTATTTTTTGCTAAAAAACTGTTTTTGGTTCTTGAAGAATAATCAAGTGACCTCCTGATAAAGATTCTGTCACAGCCGTATACTTGAGTTTTTTGAACACATATATAAGGAAGCCATGTATGTTTACCAAATCAGCTCAAATGACTGAAAGTATCGAATTAGAATGTACAGACATACTGGCAGCTAAGGTGGAGAGAAGAGGTAGAACAATGATGTAGAGACAGAGAGTGCAAAACAAAGATATTTCCCTTTATTGTTAGGAAATGGGGAATCATGGAAGGTAATTGAGAATAGGAGTAAAGGATAAAGCAAAACCAAGGAAGGAGAGTCTTGGCTATTACTCTATATGATCTTTGTGTGTTTTGGATCAAGTAGGCTGAAGTTCAGCAAGGAGTAGAAGATAGACATAGGAAGCATAGTAGGAGATTTCAAAGAGTTATCACGCTATATAATAGGACACTGGTGAAAGTACACAGGAGTTGCTTTGGAAACATTCAAAATGCTTATTGTATAAACCGAAGAATTTTATAATCGTTAATAATTATTCTTTTAACAATTAATTGCTCTGTTCAAACTAGCAAGCTTTATGCACCTGTTGATCCATTTAATACTGATTGAACCTATGTTGTTATTATTTTACTTTGCAGGAAAGAAGTCTCAAAAATTTATGTTGAGAATAGTAAATCAATATAAATAATAGTTGTGCTTTTTTTAGATATTTATTGATTTAATCACCACTACAAGTATATGATATGATTTCCATCATCCTGTTTTACTTACTTTGCACAATATAAAATAAAATAATAGGGCCTCCCTGGTGGCGCAGGGGGTTGAGTGCAGCAATGTGAAGCTATCCACAGCCTCTGCAGTATGGGTTCAATCCCTGGCCAGCCAGGGAAATACCCACATGGGAAGGCAGACCTCTCCTGTCTCACCTACTGCTCCCCTCACCAGTGTTTTCAGTCCATTTGCCTGTTTTGCCCCCACTCTGTCTCTGGTGAATCCTCTCACCCTCCCATACCTCTAGCCTGTACCCCAGTTCTTATATGCATAAATAAATAAATCTTTAAAAAATAAATAAAAGAATAGAGAGGTTATGAAAATGTCTAAGATCAAGCTAATTAAGCACAGAGTCAATATTAGGTCAGATTATATTTAGCTTTTTTATCTCTAGATTCTTTCCTATGCCATTACTGTTATAATTAACAATGTTGAACTACTAAGCAACATTTAATAGGACTATAATGATTTTAATGAATAGTATTACTTCACATGCAAGTGATATAAGACAATTTCATCAGCACACACACACACACACACACACACACACAGAGATATGCTTCAATTCCCATACATCAACTAGAATACTATATAAAATTTACTGAGGTTTGTTCCCTCAAACCCAGTTTTCCATATGTAAATCTTCAAAAATATGAATCGCAAAACTCTTTCATAAAATTTTGAAATGAGTTCCATAGTGGATAAGGGGGGATTGCAATTGTATGGGGAATATAAAAATAAAATTTATTAATTAAAAAAAAAATGTCAATACTAGATTTCTGGTCCTTCCACTTGCAACTTCTCTAATGTGGGTATGTTGCTGACAATCTACCTATTTGTTTCTTCATATATAGGTCAGGAATACTAATAAAGACATATAAGCTTTATGGAAATTAGTTATGGAAATGAATATGAGCATACCCTCTACCCTCCTGTGGACACACATAGGACTTTCATTATTTTTGTGAATGTACTTAGGAGACGGGAAGAATTGGAATTTTGATCAATAATACAGAGAGACATTTCACTAAGCAAGGAGTTCTTGAGGCATCATTTCCAATTTTGCATTAAAGAATCATATTATCCACAGCAATTAATTCAAGGAAGAGAACTCTGTTTGTGCTTTCACTAAACAGCTGAAAGCTGATGTCAGTATTCATACTTACATCTTTTCTATGTGTAATCGTATTTAATTTGTGTTCCATTCTCATGATGAAACTTGATTGTTAAAAGAGATGTCCCCTTTGTGTCTGGTGTTGGAGAGCTGCGTACTATAATTAATCTCTAGGAGTCTTAGATTTTTCAACTGCCAGGTGACTTTGATGCTATTTACCTATCTTTGGAAGAAAGGGGTGAGGTTGAATGTGCAAATACCATGTTTGAGAAGTCTGGAAATGTGATGCTGATCATATATGAGAAATAACAATCTTTAATAAGCATTAGCACTATTGAAAAGCTTACCTTAACAGGGGGCCTCGATGGTGGTGCAAGGGTTAAGCACCGCACTATGAAGCAATCCACAGTCTCTGCAGCACAGGTTCTATCCCTGGCAGGCTGGGGAGCTACCCACATGGTGCAGAAGACCTCCCCTGACTTTCCTGCCAAATCCCTCAGCAGTGTACTTAGGTCAATCTGCCTGTTCTGTTCCCCACTCTGTCTCTGGTGAATCCTCTCACCCTCCTGCATCTCTGGCCTGTACCCCAGCTCTTGAATGCATAAATAAATAAATCTAACGGAAAAAAAAAGCTTACCTTACAGACCTAGCTTCCCTTAATGATGTTTGGGGATGTTCAGAACAATGCAATCTTCAAACTGACATCGTCTTGGAATAAGTAACTTTCAGTATGAAAGATATGACACTCAAAAAGAGACTACTCAGTTGAGCCATTATACAATAAATCTAGCTACGTGTTTTTGTGAGTATCAGTCCTTTCCTCAATTGTAGGATCTTAATGTTTCATAGAACACCTGGGATATGCATTTAGAAGGGATTCATTTGAAACATAATAGAAAGATGATCTTCTACAGATGACTCTGTTCCTACAAGCAAAAAGCAGAAAGTGTGGAGAAAATACTCTCACATGTGTCATGTCGCCCATGATTAGTCCTTTTCTGGAGATGTGATCAGCAAAGCTCATTTACTCGTTGGCTTGCATGGATATTTAAAGGGATTTTTGTTAAGATTCAGGGACCTTATCTTATAGTTGCTGCTTTTTCTCCCTGGAATTAATTATCATTGAAAGGCTTTGTCTTAGAAGCAGGTATTCTGGAGAGACAGGTTTGAGAAACACCCATTTTTGAGTGGGGAATTGTATTCCCTACACTTGGAAACTGAACAGATGAGAGCCTCCTGGTTATTACCTGAACTTTAATTCCCCTAGTTTTCCTAAAGCAGGGATCAACTTTCCATTTTAGAAATGGTGACATCTGAGGAGTGGAAGATTGAAAAATTTAAGAAATATATCAGAAGGAGGAAGACAAATACCAGGTGGTCTAATTTATGTGCGATATAGAAGAAAATACCCAGAAGGTTAGTGTATTCCTGATCCAACTGGTATATGCTGGCTTTCACTGGATCTGACCAACTCTGGCTCTTTTGGTTCAGTTCTGACCAAGTCTGACCCATTTGGACCAATCCTGACCAGTTCCCACTGTTTCCAAGCAGTCTTGATCAGGACAGCCTGGTCTCTTCCTGTTCAGACAGGCTTCGACTGGTTCTGACTGGTCCTGACCATTTTCTACTGATTCCCACTGGCTCCAAATCTTCGGGGCACTTCAACTAGTCCTTACTGCCTCTGATGATTTCTGACTGGTTCTGACCTATTCTGACTGCTTCCATCCAGATCTAACTACTTCAGTTTACCTGCAATAAGTTCCAACCATCCTTGGCGGCTCAGGCTGGTTGACCAGTTCTTACCAGTAGTGGCTAGTTCCAGCTGCTTTGGTTCTGAATTTGACTTATATTGACCAGTTTAAACCAGCTCCCACTGTTTCTGATCAGCTCTGGCTTATTTTGACCAGTTCTGACCAGACATTGAGGATGTTGGTGTGGGAGTAAGGGAAGGAAGGGGTCAAATGGAACATGGTGGCATAGTGATGGTGGACAGGGTGTGAAAGCATACCCTTGTAGAAGTTTCAACCTGTAATCCCATGATTTGGTAATACATAAAATTAAATTTTAAGGAGATTTTATTGTTTACATTTTTTTTTCTTATAATTGGTGCTTACTGGGTCAGATCTAATGAATCTGCTTATCTTTGTAAGCAGAGACACTGAACTGAATGTTCATGATGATGTTCAGGAAACAACGTAAACCAAAAGTTGTACTTCCTACTATATTGGTACTCTTTGTATAGTTTTTTCCCCCCACATTTTAATGAAATGTTGTCCTTAGGTTCCTTTATGTTCTTTAATTGAGGAGTTTCTTCCACATAATTAAAGATGAGAATTGGTTAGTATCACTATAGATAACAAATTATTTTGCAGAACACTATAACCCAGATCAAACTTATACCAACAGTTATGTTTCTTCCCCGTACTTAATTTACATCTTCTATGAGTTCTTCAACACATCTCTTGGTCAGTAAAATTGACAGATAAAACCAATCAACTGATAAGAATGCTGCTATTTATTTTCTTACACAGTACTCAGTTACTGTCCTTACCATTTTTGGGAGTACTGTCCTATAACCTGACAAGTTTTTAAATGATTTAGAGTTTATATTTTCACATGATCTTCATTTACCTTTTTCTGGGAATGAAGCAAACAGATTCAACATTATTAGTTCTACTTGACAGTTAAAGAAACAGGCTCAGAGACAGTGAGCTGTGCAGTGCTAAGAATAAAAAATTAACAGGACATGTGAGACTGGACACTGACCTTCATGATTATAGATGAGGGATGTGTCCTCTGAACTGTATTAATCATTTACTGGTACTATTAACAAAGAAAACTCAATTCTTTGAAATTAAAAAAGTCTTTTAGGGAATGTATGGTTTCGCTGTATTGGAAAAAGTGATGGTTTCAACATGTGAACTCTCTGCACCTAGATATCCAAAATTAAAATGGTAGCACTGTTC